AGGGCTAATTCATATTTATCCTGACTGTGTTTCATTCAAGTGACAAGTTCTGGTGGCTGACTGACCCCGTAAACTGGGACAAGAAAATGGAACAAAGTCATCATTCAGTTTATTTTTATGAAAAGAAAAATGTGAAAATGTTTGGCAGCAATGACACGGATGGAGGTCGACTTTGTCAAAGTAAACAAGACTGTATTTGTGGATCTGAACAAAGTTGATGAACGGTATCTTTTTAAGACATTTTGTTTGTTGACGTTTTTTAGTCTCTCATATTTCCATTTAGTAAAGGACTATTTACTTTAGCCATTGTGGATACAAGACAACTTGGACCACAATTCTAAGCAATTATAAACAAAGGTGCTTTCTTGCATTATTAAAACACACTCCAGCGACTGCAGCTCGTGTGTTTGGGTGCGTGCAGTTAGAGAAACACTGACGCCCTGAGGCTGTGGATTTGTAATATAATTACTATGTGAGAGTTTTGACTAAGAGCCTAATTAATTATCTGAGCTTTAATGCATGTTATTAATTTTTTTTTTTTTTAAGGAACTCTGTGCCAGGAAGTGTAATACCCCTAAGCCTTAGATGTTTTTTTTTTCTCACCTTATTTCTTTATGTTTGCTTCAGCTGAAAAACTCAAAGTGAAATTCAAATGTCTTTTGCACTTATACGCAGAAACAACGGCTTTTAAAACCACTGACAATCAAAGTAATTCCACTATATGGTAATTAGGTGAAGAAAAACCCTACATTTTTTACATAAACGTTCTTAAACTTGAGCCTTTATGTAGATAAATGTAATGTTTTTCAATTTGGGATTTCTTTTAATGTGTGCACCTGTTATTTGTTAAACTGAATAGTTTAATTTATTATTTTTTTCCTATTACACAATTTACTGAATACACTGAAAGCAATTTATTTTATTTTGAATAATAACTCCTTAAAGGACTTTAACTTACTACAAGAATGACTGATAAACAGGATGATTCATAATCTAGTCATAGAGTCAAAAGTCTGTGTCCTTGACAGCAGTCCTTCTTTCTCCTATAACCTGTTCTGTCAGGTGTGATAGAGAACTTCCTTCTCAAAGACAAAGGTTGAAGAACAGGAGGAGACGCGGGCGGCTGAGGCTTCAAGAGACTGAAAGCTCTACAGGTGACAGGTGGAAGGAATGGCCTGTCAGGCATGGACACAAATAGCACAGAAAAAGAAGCACACCAGTAAACAAACACACACATTAACACACGTACATGCTTCACACACAGACACGGACCAACACACCTCCTCCTGCTCCTCCTGTGATGCATCTCCATCTGTGAAAACATCTGTTTCCACAGTTTGACAGCATCTCAACACGGCCCCTTTCAGAGCTATGATCCTGTCTGGGCAGAATGGAAGCTGAGGTGTGGAGGTCTAGGTTCCTCTGTCTGTCTGTCTGTCTGTCTGTGTGTGTGTGTGTGTGTGTGTGTGTGTTGGTGGCATCAGCGGATGGTTTTTGCCTGAATGGAAGTGTTTCTTGTTGTGGTTACATAAGCAGTCTCCTGGATGAATTATTCAGACTGTAAAAGAAGTGACTGTGGATTCTGTCACTGTTGCACTTTCACACGTCGACCAAAGACCATAAATGAGGATAAGGTAAAACGACAGCAGCGGAGCAGATTCTGCTGCGGTTGCTGCTGCTGAGGTGAGTTAAGATCATCTGCAGCTGACTTCAGTCAAAGGATGATAGACGTTCTCCTCAGATGTTGAACAAAACATTGCTGCGCTCTGTGATATTCAGTTTGTTATAGTAAAATACTTAGGTTTTACCTATTTTATCGCCCACAGTGCAAGGGTAGTGATACGGAATGACGCCTATGCAAACTAAGGCTTGTGTCAGCAAAATAAAGAAGCCACTGAATACCGTAAAAAAGATCCAATATGGCCGTCACCTTCTATCTACATATCATGTTCAAATGACATAAAAAAGTAAATAAATAGACAGGAGATATCAAGGCTTTCAGAGATGTAAAACATTATGTGTCAGCACTAGGGGACATGCCTAAAAGTCTCATTCATGTTTTCAGTTCAATATCTTTTTGGCAATAACAGTTAACGGCCAAGAAAATCAAAAGTTCTTAGACAAAAAATTCTAGTCAGAACAGGAAAAATTTGGGCTTAAATTGGCAAAAAATTGCTGATCAGAGCCTTTGACTTTAAATATTAGGTCACTAGAAGCCAGAAGTGATGAGCCAAAGTGCATGTTAGTTTCAGTCTGGAGTCTGTGAGATTATAAAAAAGTGACTCATATGAGAGTAATTCCACCAATGAAAATAAACTGCTACGACCAATAAAAGTTTCCAGGTTCCAAGACCAGGTTCTAATTGTCCATAAAAAAGTGTTACTAAAAACTTTCTTTTTGGAACTTAAACATCATTATATACCTTCATACTTGACTGGTTCTTCCCAGTTGGTGTTTCTAAGCTGTTTGTAGGTGAGAATGGTCAATGGTCAACCAAGTGTTGGTATTGCCCATGATTAGCATGTGATTTAAATGCATCAACAGCAAAGTCAAAGTGATGGATGATTCTCAACTCAAGGTTTTGACTGTAAAGGCCTTAAACGACATAACGTTGGCCTGACATAGGGAAGTGCGAGACTAAGCAAAAATATAAAATATATGGCAAGAACACATTATATTTATATAAATATATATGCTGTTAGCCAGGTTTTTGACATTTCTATTAATACTATAGTTCTTATGATGAGGACATCTTATTCTGTACTGATCATCTTTCTGCCATGTCAGCTTTTTCTCTTTTTATTTCTACTGTATATCTACTAGACGCTGACACTGCAAATGTATATTTTTATATGTGGATGTCTATTGATGAAATATAACCTTCTTAATGTGTTGTGAAAAGTTTTATAAAAAAACATTTCAACTATTTATTAATAAGAAAAAAACAATGTTACTAAGAACTTTGATTTCTAAGAAGATACGCTGTAAAATCTACTATTTATTTTCATTATCTGTGTGAAAACTCAATATGAAGTGGATTTTTTATCATCAATATCCCACTCCTCACCCCTCCCAAATACAGCTCTGTTCACAATTTTCATCGACTGAAGGGCAGCTTCAGGCGTCATCATCTCCTGCTTTGCCACTGAAATGGATCATGCCAGGGGATCACAGAGCAAAAACATAATAATAAGAGCAAACAAACAGATAAAAAGTGAATGAGAAGCAACTGGCAAATGCACCGTCACAACCAGAGTAAACAGAGGCACCTCTCTTGCTGCATTCGTGTTGGGTCTCTCGCTCTAGGACACCAAAGTGAAAGCAATCGTCCAGAAAACAGCCCTGGACACAAAACACCTGAGGTAGTGAGGGGAGTGTAATTGAAACATCAGCGTGAAGGAGGAGAGCTGATTCAAGGAGAGGAGAAAACAGAAATGTTTCTGCCACCTGATCAGTCTGAGTCCGACCGCCTGCGCCATATCGACTGGTGCCCAGACCATGTGACCCTTTTCCAGGAACACGTTGCCCAACAGTTGAAAAAGTCTGTGATATTAGGTATTGAATTGCAGCACATCATTGAAGTTCAACGGTTTGAGCGAAACTATGCTATAATTTGACACAACGTGGATCTTCGCAGCAACAAACTCCGATCAGTTCAATAAGTGCAACTTCTCAGGACTTTTTCAAGGGCATCTGATGTTTCCTTATTAATATAAGACTTCAGCTTCAATTTTCCATTACTGCTTCAGGAGAAGTTGATAAGGAATTTAACTTCACCAGCTCCTCTAGCTACAGACCTGAGAACATGCAAAAACGACATCACAAAAAAGGGAACTCAATATGATGTATAGGAGTCACCCTAGAGTTACCCTGCCTTTACCCTCAAAAGGGGAACATAAACAATCTACAACAATGTTAATGATGCAGGTCATTGTTGAATGTATAACCTTTAATGCTTTTACTAGGATATAGATGACTTACATAACCACCATGATATGCATGAGTGTTTATGTGTGTCATCACTAACACTTTCTGGGCCATCATCTAGACAAATGATGTGTTCACACATTTGATACGTGTCACTTAACATACGTGAAACCAGGTTGTACAGCATGTATGTAGGGCAAACCAGGGGCAGGTGTAATACAGCAATATCATTAATGTGCTTTACAGCATATGGGTCGCTAGGCTGTTTATGCAGCTGTTGTATCAGGTACTTGGTGTAACATACCAGGATGCCATACCTAAGAAGTTCATTGGACATAATTAGTCTTAGCATAAAAGAAAAGCATTATTTAGAAACAGCCGTTAAATGTCAACTTTGAATGAGTAGAAATGTATTATCTGGTTTTGTTTCCTTTATGGGGTTAAAACAGAGGGATGATTGAAGAAGGAAAAAATAAAAAATATATATTTTGCAGCCTATGGGCTACAAAGTGTTAGCCAAGCTGAGGACCTAATAAAACCAGTATTCAAATCCCAAAGGGCCAAAAAAGACCACCCAGTAGTTTCTGCAGGATAACTATTTTAATCAGTGAACCAACAGGCCTCAGGCCAAACTACTACATCAGTGAACCAACAGGCCTCAGGCCAAGACAGCCACGGAGGCAACAAGTGGCAGGGGAGAAATCCCTAACTGTCTATTGTTCCCTCCACTGAGCCTAAGTATTAGAAGATGAAAATAGCCTTTAAAAATTTCCAAGGCTGGTTTATTTAAAGAGGCGTAATGGAGGATTTCCTAAAGAAAAGAGAGGCTTTTTACAGAGGAAAACAATGACATTTTAACACATTGACCTGACAGTTTATAGCTTGGTGTAAACTAATCCTTTAAGGCAGAGTTTGAATTTGATGCATCAGTATGAATGCTTGACCAGTTAACAGCAACATGAAGTGTTAATGATTTAAAGGAATATTAAGTGGATTAGGAAATGGGAAACATGTTTATTTTCTACTGTTAGGAAGAATGAAAACAAAAACAGAAAAAAAAGACGTGGACTCACCTCTCACTGACAAGTTCCTCCATCGCCGGCATCTGGCCTGCAGCGCTGACATTCATGTGACCGTAAATGCAGAGACTCCCTGCAAAACAAAAAACAAAAAATAGTTGACATGGGTGAATTTATCAGACATTATGGGTGAAAGCAACAATGTTTTATTTTACATCAAAAACAGCCACATCATTAGCACATGAGAGGATACATTAGCATAAATTATCACGAACTGAATGAGGATTATGGATGTGGGGCACTTGGAAATTTGACATTTGCTGACATTTGACCCAGAATTGAATATCCGCTGCAAATCTGAAGACACTATTCTAGTCATTACGGCTAACGTTTGTATCCTGCAATAAAATTCAAGCACATACATTTTTTTCTAGCATCATTTGAAGCAACCAGCGCCTCATATAAATCCATCCGATATTTATAATAATGCTCAAACAAGCTCTGTGAGGATAGTCACAGGGCTTTAGGCAGCTATTTAAACTCATTTTCAAACAGTTTTTTAGAGGTTAAAACCAGTCATGTCATGGGAAACAGGAAAATTCATAACGATTGAAAATCTCTAGGAATTCAAGGCAAGGACACGTGGTCTATTCACCCACTGTGTTTATTTTCTATTTCTGCCTTAGTGATCTAACATAATCTGACTTGGACAAAATATGTAAACATAAGTAAGTCGCCAGAAAAAATCCAGAAAATCCATTACTTTTCCACTGCTAGCCCTGCTTCTTGTCCTTCCAGCAGAAGTTGTCCAAAGAGCAAAGACAGACCACAGCTGAGCCATTGAGTAAATTTAAATTTTCACGGCCACACAATCATAACACAGAGAGGACGGAAAATGAAAAGGCCGTGAAAGTCAGGGAGGTTGAGAGAACGACCTACAGATTTAACCTTATGAATAACACATTTTAATACAATATCAAAAGTCTAGAGACTGCATTCATCTGTTTGTGGTCGTCGGTTCACAAAGTCCAACAGCAAACTGAATTAAATTACACCCAGTCTATTAATCTTCTTACAGAATATGCCATGGAAATACATCTTCACTCATGTAAACATTGACTTATATCACAGCCTGGCACAATGGCTCATCGTTCAACAGATGGTGCATGTGCTACAGTATGAGCGAAAACAAATGGGGTCAGGAGCATCGCCACCTACTTAATTAGAGTCTGTTTGAAGGAAGATACTGATACAGTAGGAAACATATCATAAACACTATTGGCAAACATACATTATTTGAACATATAACAGACTGCAATCCAGACTGCTCATGTTTAGCTAACCATGCTTGGCATGTTAGGTTAGCTTATTGATTACTTCTCTTTGTATGAATTTTGTTATTTTGCACAAAAAAAAAAAATATTATAGGGCCATGTTCAAAAAAAAGTAATTATTATTATATTATATCATGTTCGAAAAAAAGTAATTATTATTATATTATATAAATGTTATATTATTATTGTACTTTCTAAGTTTGATCTCAAAGACCGCCATAAGGTTTTTACTTTATACTTGATGGAAATGAACTATGAGTGTGCTTGTTTTTTAACCGTAAATATTACCTTAGTAACATTAAGAAAACCCATTAAAAAAAAAAATTTCTTGGCATCACTAACTGCTAATATGGTACTTAGCATCTGTTTTAACCCATGATTTACTAAAATATTACATGCATTAGTTTGAATAAGAATAAAACAAAAAACAAAAAAACAAAAAAACAGCTTACTATAGTCAAGGACCATGTTGACTTTGTAACACAGGATTCACAGTGGAATTATTCAGAGAGAATATTTGCTGTTCTGGGCTGTCTGCGTTCTCAAAACAGTGGCACTCATTACCATAAACCAAGGACGTCCCTTTACATTGACCTCCACATAATACAGCAGAACAAACATGATAAAGATTCTGATAACCACCTTTAAAAAGCGCTGTTATAATTTATTACCTGCTCTGGTTTAAATCGTTTACAGGGTTGTTGTTTTTTTATCAGCATTTTATCAGAGACTATTAGAAGCGGAATAACTGCCTTAAAGATGTGCGGCAGCTAGGGTCCATTCAAGGATGGTTTTATTACAAGTCAAACGTGTGAACATCATGAGAGCAGGTGGCTTTTATGTGCTGTCTCTGGTGGAGTTTGTCATTGTTATATGAAGTACTGAAGCTGCCCCTGCTGAGTTAAATATTCACACATCTCCAGGATCCACTGTGTTATAGACAGTTCTAGATCGGTGTGTCTGTGTGTCTATGGTATACTGAGATCAGCCCAACACAACAAGAAATATACAACATAGTACAATGGCCTTTGCAGTGACAGGTTAGCAGCAGATCTACTGTGTCGATAAAAAAAAATCATCATTGTGACCTAATGAGCAAAGATGACTTTTGTTGCCAACTCTGGCTGTACCATTTTAACTCATCCTGTCAAGAATAAAGCAGATTATGCTCTAATATCCAGCTGATTAAATGCAAAGTCAAGGCTGCACCTTTATCCAATGCACTGCGTAAGAAAATCTTTTCTAATGCAGAGAAAATGAAAATCTTCCCTTTTAATAACCTCTGATAGCAGATGAGGAATAGAAATGAATTAATTCAAAGCCTCAACACATGAGAACAAAGAGCTCATTCCACTCAGGAACACCTTGTGACTCCACAGTCTACAGACTTGTTCTTCTTCATATTTGGTATGAAATAAAGAGAGAAATAAGCCAGTCCCCGTAAAAATAAAGTGATGGGATTGGGAGGTGTTTGAGTTGATAAGAAAATTCTAACATGGAAAAGCAAACAAGTAAGAGTATATAGATATATAACATATATAAAGAGATATCCACCCTCTAAACGACACAAGCATGTTGGAGTCTGTTCATCAATCCCTTGGACTGAAACTGTGACCTTTGGACGAAGCACAGACTCGATTACATGGACTTGCGTCTTCGTACCACCCTTGAGGCCACAATTGAACTATAGCAATGGAAGTTAACATGGTTCATCTCATCATCATTGATTTATTCTTCTTCTTCATAGCCCAATGTCCACAGTACTTTAAAGGGTCAATGCTGATGTCATTCTGTCATTTTTTTTACTATAGAGCACAGAATACTCCTTTATTAGAGCTGGAACGTCTGTTTGATGGAAAACTTCAACACCGAGTTGGAGACTTAAGTATGTACTAACCTGTGTTAATGGAAAAGTATATGAAAATATAAATTAAATATATATATATATATACACATATAGACATATATATATATACACATATAGACATATATATATATACACATATAGACATATATATATATACACATAGTTACACATATAGATTAACACTACAAATATATCTGTTGTATTTACACTCTGTGTAACTTCCATAAAATCAATTAAACTCGACAATGTATTTTTTGCAAGTAGCCCTACAGCAGTTCAGTAGGGATTCCAGGCATCAGCAGTATAGACCAACCACAGGTGACACCACAATACACTGTAAAACTCTCCAGCAGTAGATAAAGCCAGATGATTCTAAAAGCCTGCTGTTTACTGAAGGAAGGCCAAGACAGCAGGGAATATGGGGATAAAGAGGAAGGCACCAGTGTTGGTTTGTGTAAAAGCATTTAAAATAACCTGCCAGGTAAGTAGGTTTTCCTATTTTGCCACATTTATACAAAAACTGTGAGTCTTTATCTGTGTATTCTCTCAATATCTGTGAGTATATCCAGGAAACTGCAGTACAGTAGTATCTACAAATACGCACCACTCCTTCTTTCTATTGGCGTACAATCTAGGTCACCACCTAGGTCATTGCGCTGAGAACTCCTGAATCCAGGACAGATCATTGTATCATAATGCCACTGATTTGCCACCGAGTCTAAATCTCCTTGGCACCGTCTTCAGTTTGTGCTGCGTGCTGCTGACTCTGTCCTACAGTATAACAGACACAGCCGGAGACGTGAGGGGAGTTGAACGCATGACAGGACTAATAGGCCAGACCACTGTGAGGGTTTACTGGAGTCTGTCAAGACTTATACACTCAAAGGAATGGTACAAGGGAAGTGATGACAGGGTAAAACAGTGATGGAGAGACAGAAAAATATAAAATATAAAAAGTTACTGAGGGAAAAATTGAAGATGGAAATTTACTGCAATTTAAAGCAATAACATTTTTAAAAATCTAATCAGTTTACACACACCTGTCACAGCTGATGAGACAACACGCATCTCAACCCAAAGACATACGACAATCATTTGAATGACTGACAGTGTGCTGTATTATCAATGTACTGTATATATACACAGTATAGTAAAGTACATTGTGGTTGCAACACCATATTGACATAGGCCGTGGGAACATGGAAAGGCCTGGAAGGTTCCAGAAAAATCATAAGAGTTCACGGCCAGGGATTTATGGATGTAATAAAAACAAATGGGTCAAATCAAGGGTCTTGAACTTCTTATGAATAGAACACAGTTGTTGTCATGCAATGTCAACATAGCACGACAACACTACATGTCAGAAGTAAGGCTAACGTGGTTCCACTGGAGTGGCCTGGATCTCTGTAGTAATCCAGGAAGCTTGCTGACAGAACATCATTGCCTGCAGACTGTAGCTTATTAAATATTTACTATTAAGCCACCGGCTGCCTCTGAGGTGAGTTGGGGCGATGTGACTCCGTGCCCATGTTTTTGTGTCCTGTAATTTCACCCAGTTCTACGACTCCTGCTTTTCTTAAAAAAATTAAATAAAAAACAGGAATTGTGGTGTTCTAGGTGTGAGACAAATTGCTTGCAGCAGCAATGAAAAGTTTTAAATCAGTATTTAAACTCAACATTTAACCAAGTTACAGTAGTTGGTCAGAAGACTGGTGTGAGAGAGCTCAGAGGAGGCACTGAAGGTGCCATAGCTATAAAACTGCGACTTTAAACGGATTTAAAGTCGCAGTAAACACAATGTAGTCAACGATCGTATCCTGAAGCCAGAGCAGAGATGGAGTTTGGACCATTTAAAACACATGAAAAAAATAAAAATTTACATGAATGAATATTCATATGGCGTCTACAGTGTGGTACCATTAAACACATTAG